GATGGGTCGATTGGCCTAACAGTTAGGGTGCCTTATACATTTTTCTATTAGACAAATAAAAATGGAGATGAATGAAGCCAATTTTACCTCATGAGATGTTTTGGACTCACAATATTGTTAGGGAAAGGACAATGAGCCAATGAGGCTATGTGATTCACCAGCATTGCTTTGTAGCCAACCCTCTCTGCTACTGCAAAATTAAGAGTGAATTCAATTTTAAAATAATTCATTTTGTTGTTATAAGAAGAAGCTTAATAATGAGCTAGCCAAAAATTTTATCAAACCAGCATCACTCAAAAAATGTGTCCTTACTGTGACTTCAAGATTTTTCCTTAATTTGAATTTAATTTGCAACCATAGTTAGCCACGTTTCACCCACGGCAAAAATTGCAAAATAAGTTCACTAACTATCGTATTCATATCAAAAGAGGACAATAACTTTAATTCGCAAATAGTAGAAGATATTCACTAGGTAATTAAAATCAAGAACATTATGCCTAAAATTGCATAAAATGTTAGTTGACTAGTGGACAAAAATGCCAACTAATTAACAAATCGCTATATAATATGTGATTGGACAAAAATTATAGCTATTGAATTAGTAACAGTGATATGAAAACACAGTCCTAGCTACTTTTGCCAAAAGTTCGTGGATTATTTTGCAATTTTGCCTGATTATATATTATAAAAAATGGTGGATCTTAGTTTAGCTTCATGTGCTGATTGACTATTATGCAGCACTGTAAAAAGTAAAAACACCATGAAACTTGCATTTACACACAGAGATCTCACAAATTTTGTTGAAAAACACAAAATTATGAGATTTTTCTAGATGTTTGACTATTTGAACTGGAAAATGTGTGAGGTCAGTCAATGTACCAAAATTAAAATCGACTGGGTCAATGTATCTAGATTAAAAGGTACTCGTAGCTAGTTAATAGAGTTGAATGAAGGCTTTATAGGCGATCAGCGCAAATGTTGGTCACATTTGATATTGCATTTATTTTTCTCTTATTAAATAGTAACCTTTGTACCCAAAAAAAAAAAAAAATGTCTTGTAT